ATAAGCTCGTGGCTAACATTGTTTTTTTTTAAATTTATTAATAGTTATTTATCACTCATATTCATAGCTCAGGAACACAGGTCAGTGACAAACGTCTATGTAAATCAGCCCAAAGAAATTCTTTATATTTCAAAATTATTTTACGCTCTGAAAGACACGAGCCTTCCTCATCTCCTCAAAATCTTTCATAGAATCATAATTTCTGTAGAAATCTGCATATGTCTTCTTTCTTGGTTCAGCCACAGCAAACTTATAGAAAACTGCAACCCAATGCAGGGATACAACAAATGCTCCGACAATATGAATCCGCAGGCGCCTGGCCAAGAGGCCACGCATCTGAGGTTTGGCCAAAGCACTGGAAGCCATGGTAGTTACTGTCATTGATGGATTGCCAACCTCAACGCATCCTTCTCCGGCTAACATTGTTTTATTTATACTTTTACCCGTATAACCCTGGGTTTTTTTAGAGCCAGATCCCAGACATTTCACCAGCAAATCATTCAGTTTGTATATCTCTAAAAGATAGACTCTTTAAAAATTCTAATATAACACTCCTTAAGCTATAAAACTACATAATGAGTATTCATATTTTCCTGACCGTCTCAAATGTAATTTTTAAAATAGGCTGAACATGGTGACTCATTCATAACCTTTAATTCCAGCACTTTGGAAGGCTAAGGCAGGAAGATTGCTTGAGGCCAGGAATTGGAGTCTAGCCTGGGCAACATTGTGAGACCCCATCACTACAAAAAATTTAAAAAGTTAAACCAGCATGGTGGTTGCTTCTGTAGTGCCAGCTACTGAGAAGGCTGAGACAGGAGGATTGCTTTAGCCTAGGAGTTTGAGGTTACAATGAGCTATGATCACACCACTGTACTCCAGCCTGGGTAACAGAGTGAGACCTTGTCTCTATAAAAAATGAAAATAAAATAGGTTATGAAAGTCAGAATTCACATTAGTTCCATACCTTGTAGTTGGTTAATATGTTTCTTTGTTTATATGTTTCTCCGCTTTGTTGATGATCATTTAATTCCTTTTTTTTTTTTTTTTGGCCATCATAAACCTAGTTCGTTATTTATCCTTATGGCAAATATTTTATTAGATTCTTAATTATTTCCTTAGATTAATTGCTGGAAGTGAAAATACTGGTTCAATGGACAGATAGATTTGTGACGCTCATTCATTGTGTCAGGTGGTGTGTTAGGTACTAGGGATATTGTGGTAAAAAAGTAGAAATGCATCGTGCTTGCTTTGGCAGCACCTATACTAAAAAGTAGACATGCATCTGGTTCTTGGACTAGGATATAGATAGCCCTTATGGAATCACTGAGGATGGTACCTAACCCAGACACTGGATGGAAAATGTTTAGAGATCATTCAGGTAGGCAGTGACAGGTAAGCCAAGGTTTGAAACAAAGAGGTTGGATAATCTATCCTACTTTACAGATGGGGAAATCACAGAACAGGAAAAACCAATTACTTATAATCTTTGGTCAGAAATCAGAGAACTTGGCCAAAGTTTAAGTTAGAACTGAAGGGTTGTATTTACCACAGTTCTTTGTTTACTTAGCCAGAGTATGATATACCCAGATACGCGTATTTTAAACTGAGAACAGCACATAGTTATAATCTGGCACACTACATGCTGTTTTTTATTTATATATTTTCTTGTTAGAACGTCTGCCCTATGAGGGAAAGAAGTTTTGTTTTTTCACTTCTGTATCTCCAGGTATGCTTGGTATGTTGTACTCAATATCTGTTAAATAAATGACTAACTGGCCACCTGTTTTAGTTTTTAGCCAGTAATCTACTTCAGAAAGGGGCAACAATTTTTCTTTGTGGACAAAGAACTGGAAATGATAAGCTACAACTTGGAGATAAGACCAGCCTCTTGAGTATTTTTTGACTTCAGATGTAAAACATAAATCATCTTGTTATTTATTTCTTATCAATAAATTGAAAGATAAAAAGTTTGTTGAATAATTCTAGAATAAATGGCAGAGGGGGAAAAAACCACTAAATTGATTGTGTAGGTGGGGGACTAAAAGTCACAATTCCTGAATTCTCCTTTATTAATGAGCAAATAATTACAATGAAATTACGGCTACAGCATGTGGCTTGGAGATTCTGTGGAATATATAAGAAGGCTTTAATAGAGATTTGAGGCTTAGTATTTATAAATACCTCAGAAAAGCTATGGCTGCTGAGTTACATTTTTGTACATGTTCGTTGATATTTAGACTTTAAAAAAGGTTTAGCGTCTCCAGCATAGTTTACATTTATTGTTTACTCAGTGCTAGGCATTGTTCTAAGTGCTGGTTATCTACTGCCTCTCATAACCCTACGAGACATAGACAATAGTATTCACTTCGTTTTTCAAATGGGTGTAATTGTATTTCAAAGTGATTAAGAACCTGCTTAAAGTCTAACCACTTGTAGTGGCCCAGAGCTTAACCAGTGTTATATGCTGAAGGTTGTGGTAAAATACATTCCAGGGCTTGAATTACTCCTTTTAAAGCTAATCTTGGCAAAATGCTTGGGCATTGGAAGGAGTAAGACTTGGGTTGAGATCCTGGCTGCATTAATTACTAGCAACTAGGTTTGGGTAATTTTCTAAATCTCAATATCCTCAATTGCAAAATACCTCTTTCTCTCATAGTTGTGAGGAGCAAATGAATTACTCAAGCGTGGTATTTTTTCTTTTTTTTCCAAACTTACTGCAGGTCTGTTTCAGAGGTTTTTTTTTTTTAGAAAAGTCTTGCTCTAATTGAAGAGTTAAAAATGGTATGTACTGTAGTTCTGGGAAAAGTGGGCTTCACCCACACATGAAGAAATGATGACATGGCTTAGAAAGTGGTGAGAGATCAATTTGTATGCGCACTTGTTTATGTATTTTCACCTCCATCTCTTTTATTTATTTAGTTTTGAGACAGAGTCTCACTGTTGCCCCTGGTAGAGTGCTATGACATCATAGCTCACGGTAACCTCAAACTCTTAGGCTTAAGAGATTCTCTTGCCTCAGCCTCCAGAGTAGCTGAGACTAGACAGGCTCTGGCCACAATGCCCGATTATTTTTAGGGACGGAGTCTTGTTCTTGCTCAGGCTAGTCTGGAATCCATGAGCTCAGGCAATCCACCCGCCTCAGTTTCCCAGAGTGCTAGGATTACAGGCTTGAGTCACCGCACCTGGCCTTCCTCCATCTCTTGTAAACATGCAGGCCACTTTTTTGTATATGCTTACTTCAGAACTATAGGCACATAATAATTAGAAGATTGAGGTGAATGAGTTTTTATCTACTTTGCAGTGTCCAGCGGTCTAGGGTCAACACTGCCACTGGCTAGCTGTCTGACCTCAGGCAAGGTAAATGACCTCAGCTAAGAATGTACAAAACTCCCTGGTACACATCAAGGCTTTTGATAAAATGTCAAAGTTTGTTTCAAAAGCAAAAACGGGCTCGGCGCCTATAGCTCAACCGGCTAAGGCGCCAGCCGCCTACACCTAAGGTGGCGGGTTCGAATCCC